AAAAAAAAAAAAAAAACAACACCGAACAACTCTGGGGACGACTTGCTTACCAAACTCTCACGAAACTCCATGGTTATCATGGAACCCGTTCATCCTCACCAAGATGTAAGCCCCAGTAAAGAAGTAAAACAGTAGAATTTTGATCGGAAACCTTTAAGCACTTTGACTGCTATTTTTTGTAGACGTTCAAGGGCTTTCATGTCAAGATTTAGCCACAAATTCCAAACATGGATGGCGCCCTCGATGAGCGGTCGAATGTATGCAGTTAGCAAAGAGAGTAAAAGGTCTATTTCAAATGGTTCAATAACCTGTTTGAGTAATCCAAACTGCTCCAGGGCCGTTGGTAACATCCCACGTCTTCTAACAAACTTACTGATGGTGATTTTTCGGGACAAAGGGTAGTCGAATAAAAGTTTCAGGCATCCTATGACTGGATCCGTAGAGGAATTTTTGGATTAGCCACAACGACAAAAAAAATAAAAACAACAATCATGACTCCCAGGAAAACTGTAAAACTATTTTCCGACGAGAAACAAAGGGCTAGTTACGTAGATTATTCTCAAAGGTATCCATATGCATAAACTATNATAGTTGAGGTGAATAAGTAATATGCAAGACTATGTAAGACCATACGGGTATCTATCTATGTCGTTAGTCAGACCATTCACTAGAGTACTTTCAGAAGTTTCATCAATGCTGCATCTTCATTCAATTCAATCCTGACCGTGTTACTGAAGGACAGGAAACATGGTTAGTACAACGAAATAGGAACGGTTTTTAAAAGAGTTATTAAAAGACAAGCCATTATTGCAAACACTTTTGTACTCGAAAGCTTCCCAGTCACCTAAGTGGGGCATCGGAAACCTTTACGATCAAATAACAACCAACTCCACGATAGACTAGGCAGTGGAATAAATGTGACATCTCACAGAGACTTCCGCGGGTCACGAATCGGAAATGGACGCAGACTGAACAGAATTTCACCGGGGTAAACCTCCACTACAGTAGAAAAACAACACTGATTCAAAAAACCAATCGTAGTACGTTAAGCTACATATCTGTCCCACACTAACGCAACTTATGGACGAAAATTGATTAATGAGTATACGATAGTGGTTAATGGTAAACACAAACGTATTCGACCAATAACCGGTGATAGTTTTGTTTGGGAAAGCTAACCAATTCAAAATTATGTGAAAATCAGGGTTTTGGCACTAAATATATCGAATTGTTCGTGTGATGAATATCCCAGAGATATCTCAAAACGAATAAACACTGGAGTAGTTGATCAGGCCGATTTAGGGCAAGGGGATGGGGTGGGAGGAGGAGGAGGAGGAACTGAATTGATACTCACTCTGTCAGCCAAGATGGGCATAGATTCTCCGCATAGTTGCTTAATTTGGACCACATGTGAGTGTGTCGGGAAAGCCAATTCCAAGGACTGCTTGTGGTGGTGCCTGATTTTAAGGCATCTTCGTCCAACAAACTCTCACCAGACCGTTCCGGGCGTTGATTTACACGCACGGTGACAATTTTCGAACGGAAACTATCAATGGTTGTGATCATTTCTGATGTGTTACTGTCCACAGGTCGGATATTCTCGCCTCTGTGAGTGCCGGAGGGGGACGGGGGGTTCAGGGGAAAGGAAATATCAAAAAAATGAACAGCATCCCCAAAAAGACAATCCGAAACGATAGTATGATCCGGATGGAAAAGAACGGGAAGAATCTCTGTGACTGGAGTTTAGACGTCAATTAGGGGTCTTCAATGGATAAGTTATAACATGTTGCTGTTAGTAGCACATAACCCACCAATAAAATATCGGATCACAGTCCTGAATCAAAAATGGACTGGTTCTGAAAAGGTTGTCCAAACAAATTCACCCGGTGTTGCAAATAAGGTTATTGTGACCAAAATGAATTTCCCGGATGCAAGTGTCTGAATGAAGTGACAAAAGATTACCGGATATGCATGACTGACGAGTGACAAGAACCGCGAAACCGCTCGCGTGCTTCCGGGGAAATTTTGTCACGTCATTCATATATAACTTATTATAAACCATATATAATCACATCTCCTGGCTTGGAATAGATTCAGTCATTAGGAACCAATACCATTATTCATATGACAGCCGAAATCCTAAAAACGACTAAAAAAAACTTAGTATATCGTTCCACGACACTAACATCGCTCAGTGTCCCTAACCAGCGATTTTACCGATTCAGGAGATCAAAAATTGAGATCTAAAGCGATCCATACTCGTGAGTCACCTTGTCACGGTTTTCATACTGTGATCTCAGGCCTTAGTTTGACCACTTCCATCCATTACCTGCCCCAAGGAAACTTGAACTGGTGGAAGGCGTAATCGCTCATTAGTAGGACAAATGTTATACTGAACCAGGTCACGGGAAAGATAGCAAAATAATTGCATGCTTAAAAGTGCGAAACACCCTGTGTGATGATGTGAAGAGATCTCAATCATGTAGTAAACCTGTGCGAACGTAATGCTCCATTTGCACATCGAGCCGGCGATGTTATTTATCGCTTCAAACTAATATAGGCATCCAATAATGGATTTCAGTTTCAGTTTTTACAACTATGAACCACTGTTTATGACACCGTCTCTCACCATTGATAACCAAGCGCTCGAAGTCCCCAACCAGACAGCCTAACGGGACCAGTCTCTAATCTCCTGGTTAGGGTTCTCATGCTCTCATGCCAGGCGTCCGTTTGACCAACCTTAACTTTTTTCAAATTGCTATCTGCTTCGGTAAGCATCGCTCGCCGTGGCAACTATCTGGTGCCATGTGTAACACACACCAACAAGCGTAAAACATGGAGGTCGACTGCTTGCTTCAGTGGACGACCGTGATTATCTAAAACTCTAAACGTAGTCTCAGCATTGCTCGTCTGGTTACCTCAACAGAATTGCGCAATGCGACGTAGACGGCAGTGTTCGAACACAGACAATCTCTTTTTATTCTGTTCCCTTAATGACCAAATCTCTGCGTCGTAGAGCAACACTGACGCACGTTTAAATTGCAATCTAATCTAAGGGTCTATTCGGAATAGCTCGACAATGCACGTGTCAGTAGAAGAAAAGGAATACAATGATTTCAACAGACCATAACCCTATAGAATAGCGGTGCGATTGGTGGCAATTATTACGTAAGAATAGTCAGTAGAATGAATGGGATGGAATTAATTCGGATAGTTGCACTGCTATCCAGCTATGGGCGCGTTCAGTCAGCCGAAACAAATAAGCAAAACTAATTCAGCACAGTACGTGAAGCAAGTCGAGTCAGATCAGCAGTCATGTGAGAGAAAAGACTCCCAGACAGAAAAACGAAACCGAACAGATTCGATGAACTTACTCAGCCATCCGGAACAAATCGTGCGAACGACCAGCACGGATACGCAGATGCCAATTGCCCGGACCAGCTTTCAATTGGAAATAGCCCTGTGGATCGAATCAGCGCGAAATACGAGAGGGAACAAGAACAGTGATCAACAAAATGATGCGAACCAAATGCATAGGTGTTATAAGTATAACAGAGAGGTTAAATTAGCATTTGGCCGGAATAAACAATCCCCAAAACCGCATGACACATTGTTGGTGAAGGGACACTAGCGGGTAATTGTTGAAATATTCCCACTGTTCGTTGAAAGAACCATTGAAAGGAGGTGCTCCGTTTGATTATTCATTATCAAGCGTTTACATTAGTATACGATCAGAGGTAGCAGCAAACGGTAGTTCACAAGCTACACCACATATCAACAAATTTGCACGACCAAAGCCAATGATCCGATACCTATCACATATGACCGTGAGTTTATCTTTCAACAGGCGAAAATAAATCTCAGGATTTAATGAGTTCGCAGGATGTAAACTATCTGCCGCGTGTACTGAGTAGCACCGTCAAACTTTGTCAAACCGGATACCATTGATTTTCCCAGTAATACACGGATCGAAACATCTATGACGTTCCTAGCATTGCTGCTGTTAAGCAATCGGAACTATGAAAGATCATGGCTGATAGTTGCTCCGGTAGTTCGATGAATGAATTGTTGATCAGGCTTGTTTCCACTATTGATGAAAGAATTCGAAAACGCAACACGTGGAACTCCATTACTACACATTCCAGCATAGAAGACTAGGATCATTGAACTGAAATTTGATACGGCAGCAATTTTATTCAAGATTCGCCACATGCTCACCAAATTCGCCATCACAATAGTATCGTGTTGGTTCAAATCAGAGGCCGGTCCGAGTGTGAGTTGTAGTCCACGCGGTGGTTTCATACTTCCCTCGGTGAAACAATGTCCTTCGAGCAATAAATATTCCAATTCGTAAACTGCTTCCACGACACCGTAAACATCGGCCAGTCGAAGATTGTCCAAGTCATGCACGGCCTCCACGGCGGCAACCATCCAACCGTGAGGAGCATCCATACCTAGAGTGAGTATCGGCTGACCGGGTAAGTGAGAGAACTCCACACGTGGGATGATCGGATTGGAATTGATTATCTCGCGGCTGCCCATGGACGAGGTGAAACGGAATGGTAATGGTTCCCAAACAAACTGATAGAAACTATAATGGGATCGGATATGAGAGAGATGTGTGAGAGATGTGAGAGATGGGAGTTGTGTTAAATGTCACCTTCCGGGTGCTTGGGATCACGGGATCTAATGTTGGAAAAACAAAACGGTCTGAAAAAACCAACTGAAAGAACAAACGTGAGAGGAAACGTACCTGTAGTGGGCAGTGCTGGGGGGTCGGGAACGTACGAGACGATCAAGCCGATTTGAGGGCAACTCTCCGGAACCATCGCACAAAAAACTTTTAACTGTGACTCCGAACAGCTTACCGAGAAAGCTTTTTGCATACACCTCTGTAAAGCCCTTACATATTCATTGGAAAACGGCAAATATTATTTAGACTACGAAATCAAATAATGGTAGATAATTTTGTTGAGAAGTCAAAAATATCCCTGAAATGTCTCGGCATGAGAAACGGCGTGACAGNCGCGCACAGCAGACGTGTCACACGACGGCAGCTCGTAACACGAGACAAACAAGAATAAACCAGAAGAACAGGTCAGAAGTCAGGTGACCAACTGGACACAGATACAACCCTTGGAAATTCACAATGTACAGACAATTCGATGTTCCGCTTACTAATTGGCTCTCAAAACGAAAGCGGAACTAGCCTAGATGATCGAGAATCAGAAAGGAAATCGCGAGGATTTAGGCTTCAGCGTATCGAGCAGAGCTGTCTTGTGGAAATACGATGAGCACATTGTTATCTACCCCGTTAAAGACTTAAAAAAGGAACAGGAACAAAAATTATTTGTCAACTTACTTCTTCACTGGAAGTTCTGGTAAATTTACGATAGGATTTAACACGATTCGCATTTGATTTGGAAGCGATTGCTGAAGCACAGCAAGGATATGCGAAAGCCGTTGAGCATCACGAGAAGTGGGATTGACCACACCCAAAATCTCGAATACGGGTTTGTTTGTATCGGTTGATGGTAACACGAATCCCGTGTGCCTGAATGTAATTCCCTCTACACGGATTCGAGATCGACTCATGATGCCCTCCATGGAATCCTAAGACAGGGTGCAAAAAAGGGCGGAGAAGTCAATTGAAATTACCTTCTACGATGTTGATTCTCATCACGAGATCTCAGGTCAGTCTGTTTGATTATTGCAGATCCTAGACACTGCGACACTGTGTTGTGGTGGAGGATTTAACTCGTTGGGAGTTCATTCAGTCTCCAAAAGTATTTTATTTGCGTAGAGAATTATTGTGACGGGCAGCGAACAATAGGTTTCTCTCTTTTGGCCTCATTAGTAGTACGTGGTATTGACACGTCCATATTCGAACTCGAACTTTAGACTTTAGGGCTGGAAGCCGAAACCGTTGCCCATGCGATACACGGTCAACGATCAACACCCGGAGTGGAGGTTAGCATTAGGTTATTATGCGAAGTTTCTGATGGACCAATTTACGTCCCGACAAGGACAAGAATACTGTGCTGCAGAAGATTCTCATAAAAAAAAAGAAATAATTACCCAGTAGTTTTCGCCCGTCATCATATGGCGATTGCAACACACGTAAAAGGACATGGATGTGTTTATTTCTGCTAGCTTGCCCACATTATTCTTTAATTTATGTTGAACATTATCCACTATGGTACCACGGGAGGAAAAATCACGAGCAACGAGTAGAATAAATAACAGGTTCGAACCATAATATGGCACACAGGTAACTGATATAGGTCACTGAGAAACGAGTCCTCGGATGTTTTATAAACTGACTAGCTCCCTTTGTTCAATGCGCACAACGCTTGCAATACCAGCGAAACGAGCATAACAATGGACAGGTGAAAGTGCAGCAAGCGATTTGTGTTACCATTAGATCCTCATGGAGATCGTGGATATAATTGCATCACTGGGGCTTAACCTTACCTATATTGGGAGCCTCTTAGGGGTAGCTACCGCTGTCCTATTATAGAAACGTTCTAAGCAGTTTTTTACTTGGCAAAAGAAAGTAAAAATTATGATCATTCGTGGAGAGCCTAATGAAAATCCTGATGTACTGAAGTGTTCTCGGGAATGCTTATCGGAATCTCTACGTTTGGATTGCTGAATTTGTGTCAAGTCAAATCAAGAAAAGCTTTATGTACCCAAAAGGTGAATTTTCAGCAGTTTACGAGTTTTACAGTGGATAGTTAAAATAATTGTAAACAAAAATAGAAATACAGTATGAGAAATTCTGCACTTTAATAAACGAGAAAAAAATTAGGGTAAGAGCT